CAAATTACTCCCAAACATAAACAAAACACAACACCAGAAACCACTGCCTGATGAATGGGAACACCTCAAATGTACTCATAAGCTATTATGCTGGGAGTAAAACAAAACCTAAAATGGAACATGCTAGGACACTTCTCCCATGTGACGATCCTTACTTTGCAGAAATGTTGGAAGGCTACCAGAATACTATGAGTGTATCAGTGGGCTTAAATGATCTGTTTAGTAAAATTTGGCAGGAGGGTTGTACTCCTCAAACATGCTTTAACATTCTAATTGATCTGCTGTTTTATCAGGTCTTCATAATTAATCAGTAAAAGTGCCTCTGGAAAAATACGTATTAATTGGCTTTTATGGCCTCGGTTGAAAGAGAAGAAATATTTCCTAACTGGTATTAGAGAAAGGGGATGTCTTCTATTATTATTGGAAGTGTAGACTGTATAATATGGATTTAGAACTTCAAAGATTGCTGTCCAGACCAACAGTTTCTAGCTTTTTATTTGAAGCCCTGTTTTCATGATATTGCAAAGCAGTCTATGTAGTGGTTGACATCACACACTTTAGAGTCAGACAGACATTAAGTGAATTCAGGCTTTCTCTCTTACCAGTTGTATGACTCTGGGCAAGTTATTTGATTCCTTTGTGCCTCCGTTTCTTTATTTGTTAAAACGGGGATAACCGTCCATTGGGGGCTCTTCTGAAGATTGAACTAGAAAATGTGTTTAAAGCACTTAACCTAGTGCCTGGCACCAGAAAAGACTTTATTAAATGAGAGGCCCAATTATCTTATCAATCTGTGGAGGAGATGTGATTGATACCCTCTAATATCATAAAGGTTGGCAAAGAGAGCCTCCTTCTCAAGGCCAAAGATAGTGAAATCAGAGTAAAATGAGATTGTTTCTATGAAGGAAAATGGAGACACAAAAGAGAGGCTAAGTTTTTATCAACTGGCGTAACCCTATAGTCCAGGAGCCAAGTAAATCAGACCTATGAGCAGTAATTTGGGAACCAACAGAAAATACACTAGGACTTGGCTGATACTTTGTGTTATACTCGTTGTGCAGGACTGGGCTTTATGTAATAGTTTGAATATGGTTTGTAGATAGAGCCAGAGGCTAGGTGGACAGTTCTCCATGACTCTCTGGTTTTATGTTTTATAACCATTGTTTTTTACCTATCTTATTTCCCCTACTGTATTCTATAAAGATTCCTCCTATTAAATAGTTGACATCTTTTTCTTTTTTCCTTTCTCATTCTAAAAATTCATCAGTTTGCTTTTCTTTACTCTCTTTACTTCTCTTTATGGAGTGTCTATATGGCCTTGGGTAAGTGATGTAACATCTCTGGGCCTCAGTTAACTCATCTTTAAAATGAGGAAAATTATAGTTTTAATCTAGTGATACATTTCTAGCAGTAAAATGGTCTAAGCTTGGGTATTACTTTTCTGTATAAAGTTAGTATAAATGTTATCAATATTGTTTTAAACCCAAAAAGCAAATTTTTACTTTCAACCTTTATTTATAGAAATAGATTTCTGGTTACCCTCAAAAAGTCACAAACTCAAATGCCTGTAGAGGCCAGGCAATTGAATAGAGTATAGCCATTTAAATAATTTGCCATAATATGTGCTCACCTTTTTAAATTTTTCATATGTTTTAAGAAATTCTGGAAAATTTTTTGGGGGGGATTTGTCTTGTTTTGAGACAGAGTTTTGCTGTAGTTGCCCAGGCTGAAGTACAATGGGCGATTTCAGCTCACTGCAACCTCTGCCTCCCAGGTTCAAGCGATTCTCCTGTCTCACCCTCCCTAGTAGCTGGAATTACAGGTGCCCACGAGCATGCCCAGCTAGTTTTTGTTGTTGTTTTTTAGTAGAGTCAGTGTTTCACCATGTTGGCCACGCTGGTCTCAAACTCCTGACCTCAGGTGATTCACCCACCTTGGCCTCCCAAAGTGTTGGGATTACAGGCATGACCTACCACACAGGGCCCGGAAATTTGTTTTTTAATACAAAGTTTTCTGATTTTTTTAATGTTAGCAATGAAGAATTTTATAATCACGCTGAGTCAAACAAAACGTGAGCTGGGAGTTGAATATAGTCCATAGAAAGCCAGTTTCCAAATTATGCCTTTTATCTTCTGATATGCTCTGTCAGGTGACTTATTGGGAGTTGTTACGAATAACTTTAAAGGTAGGTTTAATTTTTAAAGAGAACTGTTTTCTTTATGTTCTTTGATGTCTTTAATCTAAAACAGTAGATGTCAAAGTATGGGTCATATGCCAAAAGAGTATGCAGACTAGTCTGCAATAAAATGTATGCACAAACAAGTTAGCCTCTGGAACATTCCCAGCCAGCTCTGGGAGAAATAGGAGGCAGATTTAGTGCGAGTGACATCATTGTAAAAAACACTTGTACTCTTAATTGAGCAGCTTAAAGGAGAAGCTATAACTGGCAATGCTGTCTTCCTTATCTGCACTCTAAACTTGACAGAGGCCACCAGCCATCCTGAAAAAAAAAAAAAAAAAAAACCTCACAGAAGATGATATCTAATGTCTGGTTCATTCCTTATTCTTTGCAGAAAAGCATTGCCTCACTCTTTTTTTTTTTTTTTTTTTTTTGAGACGGAGTTTTGCTCTTGTTACCCAGGATGGAGTGCAATGGCACGATCTCAGCTCACCGCAACCTCTGCCTCCTGGGTTCAGGCAACTCTCCTGCCTCAGCCTCCCGAGTAGCTGGGATTACAGGCACGCGCCACCATGCCCAGCTAATTTTTTGTATTTTTTGTAGAGACTGGGTTTCACCATGTTGACCAGGATGGTCTCGATCTCTTGACCTCGTGATTCACCCACCTCGGCCTCCCAAAGTGCTGGGATTACAGGCTTGAGACACCGCGCCCCGCCTGCCTCACTCTTGCTAATAGTTCCTCTGCTACAGCACAAATGGCATATAAATATATACTAAATCAAAGGACCTTGGCTTTTGCTTTCTTTTTAAAAAAGGGCTTTATTCTCCCCACCGTCTAAGATAGAAGGGGGAGGGAGAGGCACAGGTTGGGTTCTTAATGTGTGTATTCTCTCCCCAAATTTTGAGAACTATTGGTCTTCCAGTAATACTTATTAGGCAAGTATTTTGTGTAGTAAAAAGTACTGACATTGTTAAACATTTTTGGTCATTTCTGTGATCTTAACGCTAGTTTAAAGGGTGTATGTGTGTGTGTGTGTGTGTGTGTGTGTGTATCTGTGTGTGTTTGATCAGTACTACATTTAAATAAATGACCCTTTGTTGGTGAGATTTCACATCAAAATCTGGATTTTCAGCTTCTTTTGGAAAATGGAAGTTTCTCACATACTCATGGTACGCTGGAGCTGAGCATTGGCTAACCTATCCAGGAGTATTAGCCACTGTCTTTATAACTTTCCTTTTATTTTGTAAACCCCTAGCCACCTTTGCTCTTTGTGCCTAAGGTTCTTCATCTGTAAATGCAGATTATAGTCGTACCAACTGAATTGGGTTGTTACATGGATTAATTTTTAAATTAATGAATATATCAAGCATTTAAAAAGAATCCTTAGTATGTCAAACAATCAATGCTAGTTGTTACTGCTAGTTGTTACTACCTTTTGTATGTACAAAGTTTATTGTACTGCTTTAGGGTTTGACTAACAAAAGAGTGAGAAAATAATCACCTAAAAAGATGCCAATGTCAAAGTCTAGAAAGAAAATTAAGCACAGATACCGAGTGAAAAAGCCCAGTCCCAAGTATACTCCTGTCACCTTGAACAAATCTCTCGTCTCTGGGATTTAGTTTCCCCATTTTTAAAATAAGAAGAATAGATGTGTTGTCTTCAGAGGTCTGTTTTTGAAATTGAATATAATTGAAGGTTTTGGAGAAAAAATTAGAAGTCATGCTGTGACAAAAGATGCCAAGAGGGGTTAATTTTCTCCTTGAAAAACTGAATACTCTTTCAAAAATTTCTTTGGGAAAATTAATGTTCACTATATTTTGTATAGATTTAAACCATGATGCAGTATTTTTCTTATGCTACCAGTTAAACACTGTTTCTCTTGCTCCTTTTCCCCAGGAAAAAAAATTAGAAATCTGGTCTTTGCTCAATAGCAAGGAAATTCATATTTATTTTGTTGAATGCATAAGTAGTAAAAGGGGATGTCAAGGCCAGGAAGCCTGAGAAAGCATACTTGTTAGAGTAAACAATGCAAAATTTATTCCTATATTAGTAGGTCAGGCGAAACTGAGAAACGTGGCATGTTGAATTGTGAATGAGAGAAAGTAGTTTCATGTCTTTGTTTACAAATCTCATTTACATGATAGTGGTCTCCCCATCTTTCAATAATATTAAATATTACTGATTTGTGGCTATCTTTGTATAAGACTATAATTGAATTTTGATTTTAGTGCCATATTACACTGTACACAAAATTAGTGAACTTGAGCTTTTGGCTAAGTTTAGGGTGTATCATCAGTTGGCTTTTGGATATACTTTGTTTTTGATCACCAAATAGTAAGTTTTAAAGTTGAAAAGGACCTTAGAAATGATTTCTCTAAATTATCCTCTGGTGGCATCCTAACAGCCTACAAAAATGTCTAGAAAGTAGAATTTATGACATTTACATAGAGGTAAGGTTTGTGTTGAAATTAAGAGCATTTTGGCAGAATTTTGGATGATAGTTTATAAAGGGATTTAAACAATTTATAACAGATGAGTTAGAAGGTAGCTTTCAATGAAATTTTAGCTAGTCAGTCTCAGGATAAGAGGTGCAAATGGGAATTTTTTTTAAAGAATGTGGATTAGCAATTTTCTGTATTTATCAAGTGGTCAAAATGACTATAAACATGCATGGACTGTCATGGTAGTATGTCGGAATAAAAGATTATATTATGAGAATTGAAAGTTAGTTTCAGCAAAGGATATTAAGAACAATTGTGAGGGAACTGGTCATGCAGGAGTAGCATTTTAAACTTTAATTTCATTTTAATCCATTTCAGAGACCATCATGCAGACATCAGAGACTGGATCAGACACAGGTTCAACAGTGACTTTACAAACATCTGTGGCTAGTCAAGCAGCAGTGCCTACGCAGGTGGTACAGCAAGTACCAGTACAACAACAGGTAAGAAGCTGCCGCTCTTAGAAAAGATGCCGTTACTTTCATTATGTTGGCCGTCCAACATACCTGTATCCAGAGATTATTTGGACTTTACTTTCTTGCCTCATTGGGTGCTATGATAGGCACAGTTCAGTCTTTAGGTTAATTTAGCAAATGTTTTTTGAGCATTTCTGAGATTTGCCAAGTTTTTTTTGTGCTGGGCTATAGGGATACAAAAACGAATGCTCCAGTTATAATGTGTGTTCTCAAAAAGTCTCTCTTGACTCCTAGAGTGAGTTATTTTTTCTGGCATGACGACCCAAGGTTTTCTCCGCTTTTCTTCTCCCCATTGTATATCACAACTTTCTGTTTCTTTCATAATGAAATGCCAGCAATATTATACTTTATTTAATGGGCTCACAGGAGTACTTAATAGGATGCACGTACCTTCCAGGCAGGGATTTTGCCTTTGTGGTATTTTAGAAAGTGCCTTGGGCACTAGGTGGCTGATAAATACTGTTTAATGAAAATAGAATTGTATTAAAGGTCTGGAGATCTGACTCATGTCATTTAAAAATCATCATCAGATGTTTATTTACTACAGGTCTCATTCATACGCAGGGCAGTTGGCTCGTTTTGGAAAGATACTGACAAAATAATGCTTTCAATGTATGTGGATTGTGAACACACTGGCCTGTCATTTCTTCTAAAGAGTGGTGAGAATATAAGTCAGAAAGATCATATGTCATATAACATCTTGAGACTCAAGATTTGCCTATAATTTCTTAGTATTAAGGAGACTTTTTAGCAAATGTTACTCTTACAACTATAAGTAAGTGGTTAGGGAGAAGGATATAGATGGGTTATGAAGGATATAGGTGGGTTTTAAATGATGAAGGAGGTTTTTATAAATGATAGACACAAGGTTATATTCTTTACAGGATATAGAATTGGGTTGGGCAGCGGATGTGCTGGAATTGTCTTTTTCTTTTGGGGTAAGTAAAGACATCTGAAATAATCATTTTGTGTTTATTTTTTAAACATTTTAAAAAAATCTTAGCAAACTCTCTCATACACACATACACATCTTTCTCATCCCTCAAGCTCCCAGTTTATTGGATTGAACTATATATAGTTTTGATCTACAAAAACAGTGTTACATGTTTCAATCTATTGCTTATGTTTCTTTTTTTTCCTTTCGAACATATTTTCTGTTTTTTTTTTTTTTTTTTTTTTTTTTTTTATATTATAGATCCAGAGGATACATGTGCAGGTTTGCTTTATGGATAAATTGCATAATGGTGGGGATTGGGCTTCTAGGGTACCAGTTACCCAAATAGTGAACATTGTACCCAATAGGTAATTTTTCAATACTTATCCTCATCCCACCCTCCCTCCTTTTGGAGTCCCCATTATCTATTATTGTCATCTTTATGTCCATGTATACTCATTTCTTTAGCACCGCTTTATTAGATATGTTTTTATCTTTTTATATATATATTTTTTTACCATTAAAAATAAGTCCTCAAAATGGTGATTGAAAAGGCTCTGCTATTATTAATGCTATTACCAGTTTTAATTGAGAAAGGGAACATAATTGAGAAAGGGATAGCTTATGTCATGTTATCCAAAAAGCAAAAGCAAGTAAAGAACAATTAGACATTGTTATAACTAACTTTAAAAAGATAACAGTCAGTTGTCTTTTTAAAGTTTTCTTTTTATTGAATTTATATGTTATCAAATATTTGCACCAGGTCTTAATAGGGTACATAATAGTGTACAGCAGGCATCCCCAAACTTTTTACACAGGGGGCCAGTTCACTGTCCTTCAGACCGTTGGAGGGCCGCCACATACTGTGCTCCTCTCACTGACCACCATGAAAGAGGTGCCCCTTCCTGAAGTGCGGCGGGGGGCCGGGTAAATGGCCTCAGTGGGCCGCATGCGGCGTAGTTTGGGGATGCCTGGTGTACAGAGTCAAAAAATCCAGCAAGATTAGTTATTTTTAAAAAATAGCCTTTAAGCTCCCCCATTCTCCCACAAACCACTCTTCATAGGCAACTTCATTTACCTCTTTAAACGTGTTATTTCGATATTTGCCTGCATTTATTTAAAGATAGTATATTTATTTTACTGCGTCTTGATTTGAGTTTTAAGCATTATGTTAGCATGCCCTTCTTTTGGACTCTAACACATACACACACATACCTTGACCCACCCACCCATCCACCCTTCCTGTCCCTCATGTTCTTGACAGATTGAACCATAGGTGGTCTTTTATGTACAAAAATAATGATTCATATGTCTCAACCTGTAAGTTATATTTTAATTTTAGTAAATCAGTATTCAGTTCTTACACTGCCATGATATATAAATGCTGTTCAAATCCAGCCTTGCAGTCAGCAGTGATTACCTTTCTTTCCTGTAAAACTCATTTATTTTTCTTAGATTTAATGATTATGTTTCTCCTAGTTTAAAGGATTGCCATGGACAAGCCAAATGCCATTCTGATTTCTGAGCTTTTGTATATAGTTTATGTGATTTTTTTTTTAATTTGAAACTTTGTAAAGTATTTAAAATTCCAGTTTTATGAAACCTCTTGATGATGTGCATTGACATGGGCCTGTTTTCAAACACTGTACTAGAACCTTGATGGGCCCTTTCAGTCTGGACATCCATGCTTTTTCATTTCTGGAAGACTTTATTCAGTTCATTCATTTATGATTACCTCCCCCTCTGTTTTTTTGTTTTTTTTTTTTTTCACTTTCAGGGCCTTTTTTGTTCTGTTTTCAGTTTCATTGTCCAGCCTTTTATTACTTTTAATTTCTGATATCACTTTTTTAAAAAAAAATTTTCAAGAACTTAAAAAAAATTTGTGTGTTCCTTTTTGTAATATCATGTTTTATTTCATGGATTTTTTTTCCTCTCTGAAGATACTAATTTTTTTTAAGTTGTTGAATTTTTTTTCTCTTTACATAGTCTGTTTCTCTTAAGGTACCCTGCTGTGTTTTCTTTTGTTTTTTAATCTGTCTCTGTCTTTCATGTTAAAAGCTTTTCTCTGATGTCTGATCATCTTTGGGTGTTTATCCATATTTTAAAATGTGGGTATAAGACGCTGATTTGAATGCATGAGTGAGTCTTGTTGACTGCAAAATGGGGTTATCTGACTGACGAGGCTTTTTAATTAAGACCCCTCTGATGGTTAGTATCTTTGTTTTTCCTCTTTTGCTGGTCAGATTTTTAAAGAAGATTTGTCTAACTTCGCGCCTAATGGGTGAATGCTTGGCTGCCTGGGAGCTGAGTAGGGGAAAGAGTTGGGTATTTATTGCACAAATTTACTTAACCTTTCTCTTTTTTCTTGTGATATTCCTCAATGCAGAGATTAAACCAAAGAATAAACCTCCAAACATTTTACTAGTTAGTGAAGGCCAGTCACCTTACTGCATAGGGGTTGGTAGAGAGAGCCTGATTGCTTCTTAAATAGAATCACATTTTACATTAAATACATATATTAAAAACAAAAAAATTGGATTGCTGCCAGAAGTGGAAAATCAGTATTGCTAGCCATAAATAGAAGATTATACATACACACACTCCCCAACCCCCACACTTCATTTTTGATCTCATAAAAAATAATCTTGTGTACACCTGAACCATACTTTGGAAAAAACATTGTACTGTGCCATATGGCTCACTCCCAACAGGCAAATTTCAGTTCCTCAAGTTCGCGCTTTCTTCTAGGACGTTCAAGGCAGGTGATACCTTATATTTCTTCACACCAAGCAAAGAAGGTGAGAACTCTCATTTTCTTTTTGTCAACAAAGTGTTTTATTTCACGCAGTTTGTTATTGTGATATTTGCCTGGAGACTCTTGTTATATTGTCCTTCCAGACTTATTTAGAAGGATGTTTTTCTTCTTTGTTGTTATTTTTCTTATTTCTTTTTTTTCTTTATTAGAATAGTGTTAGGTTTGAAGCTCCCCAGTGTATTCCAGCTGTGTCCCTGTGGATGTAAATTGTCTATGACTGATAAGATTAGTGCTATAATAATTCCTTATTCCGCTGACATGCCTATAATGTTTGAATTGTTAATGTGTTGCTGTTATCTTGGGTTTGCAAACTCTAGTAAAATGCCTTTAAAAACTTCTATCTTTTGTTACTGACCCATAATGGATATAGAAATCATGATTTTCATGTCAAAGGTAGTTACTTCTATTGATTCAACTTTTCATTGTAACTTTGCTTTGTCGATTTTGACATAAAAAGAAAGCTTATAGCTAATGTTTTAAAATTTTGAGACATTTACTATTACATATAGGTTGATGCAAAAGTAATTGTGGTTTTTGCCTTTAATTGTTGCACTAACCTAATATACTGGACTGAATTAGTGTATTAGTCCATTTTCATGCTGCTAATAAAGACATATCTGAGACTGGGTAATGTATACAAGAAAAAGGGTTCAATGGACTTAAACAGTTCCATGTGGCTAGGGATGCCTCACAGTCATGGCAGAAGGCAAGGAAGAACAAGTCACATCTTAAATGGATGGCAGCAAGTAAAGAGAGAGAGCTTGTGCAGGGGAACTCCCATTTTTTAAACCATCAGATCTCATGATACTTATTCACTATCATGAGAATAGCATGGGAAAGACCCACTCCATTAATCAGTTCCCTCCTACCGGGTTCCTCCCATGACAGTGGGAGTTAAAATTCAAGATGAAATTTGGTTGAGGACATAGCCAAACCATATCATTCTGCCTTGCCTCCTCCCAAATCTCATGTCCTCAAATTTCAAAACCAATCATGCCTTCCCAACAGTCCCCAAAGTCTTATTTCAGCATTAACTCAAAAGTCCACAGTTAGAAGTCTCATCTGAGACAAGACAAGTCCCTTCTGCCTATGAGCCTGTAAAATCAAAAGCAAGTTAGTTACTTCCTAAATACAGTGGGGGTACAGGCATTGGGTAAATATAGACACTCCAAATGGAAGAAACTGGCCAAAACAAAGGGGCTGTTGGCCCATACAAGT